CGCATTTGATATCCGATACCAACGCCCTAACCATCCTCTGGTATAAAATGTTGAGGTTGACCCAAGTCAAGTCAAGTCAAAGATATTCAGTGGCATCCAGTGGCCGGGACATACAAACATCCAAGAAATTATTCGCTGCCCGCAAAGCATCTAGCACGTGCACATTGTGGTTTCAATTTCTGTCAGAAACAGATGCGGAAAGCAGGAACTTGATCGTTTGACATTGTTTGGAAACTGAATATCAACCGGCAAATTGGAAGCCAGTCACCAGTTCAAATGTAAATTTCATTTTCTTGAACAATCATGCATCACCAATAATGTTTTACTTTGTTGAATTAACTGAATTTATAATATTGCGACAAATTTTCTGCAAAATGGAAGCGGTTGATGAAAGGTTATTTGGGATTATGCGGTAATCGAGAATTTGGTGATTGACTGTTTGTGATGGTTTGATTTAAGCAAATTACGCTGGACTGTTATGAGATGATTCTTATTTTCACTTGGCCATCGATCCACGACAATATGGATAATACAAGTGCCGAAATAGTGGGTGAAATTGTGAAAGTAGTAGTATAGCCGGTGACTGATATTATGTGTTCATCAGATCCACAGTTAATCTTATCACGCTCCGTTTTTGCTCACCCCAAACCATTATTTTGGTGTCATAGGCATACACTTGTTACATAATATCCTGAAAATAGCATTGAATTGGTTTGTTGCTTTTGCAAACATTAAGTCCAAAGGTTAATATCAAATCATAGCAATCACTTGCTCATATACTACTTAGAAAACGTGTCCGCACACACATATTACACTTACAATCTTTGCACGGGCATGTGTATCTCTGCTTTGACTATAACACCGGCAGTAGTGAGATGTAATGGGAACAGCCGAATGAACATAATTAACAGTTAGTCACTACTGGATAGGGCTGACCGAAATCCCAACAGTCATTTTTCATCAAGTGTTTTGGATAACACACACAACCACATAAACATAAACCTTTCTACAGACTAGCTGAGGAAATGACCTGTGGGATCGTGTGATGCTTACTATTCATTCCGTCTCGAGTGCAATGACTCACCATCAGTTACCAGTTGCTTGTTTACTCATGTAGCTAAACTGTCAAACGGCCTGGATTGGTTGCATGGAGCACAAATTGCGCTTTTTGAGACAGAGTGCTTTGACTCTATTTGAATGTGACATTTGCTCTTAGTCTGTAACGAGTACAGTGTACGAGCCCAGTACGATCACTGTAGTTATATATATATGCTTAGTAAAAACTACCGTTTTTAATTGTTTTGAAAACTTTATCACTAACTGCTCAGAACGAGGTGTGTTGCCTTCAAGATTGGTAAACTGTGTATTCCTTGAATCGTTCTCCTAGTGGTCATCCGATGTTTTACTATTTTGCATAGGCCGTGCAACTGAACACCAACCGGCGCAGATCAGCTTTCCTATGTAGTCCAACCCCACTGCGACTGCTTTCACTAATTTGTTTTCCCAGGTTGTCTTCTTTAATAAACAGCCCCGTCTCCCAACAGATCACGTTCCAATGGTAGAAGAGCTTACAATAATTCACGACCGATGTTGGCATCGTAATATGCACTGTGTACCTTGCAAAGTGATCTATAGCATTGTTCCATATATTAAACTACTAAGAAATGATTATCGAATGTAACACTCTCGGGTGCATAACACCATAATACACAATGAAATCAGATAATTGACCTTGTGCATCAACTGCTTGCATGTTACCAGTCGCATAACTAAATGTGCTGCTTCAATTCGCTGACTGCCATCAAAAAGCACTTCGGTATTAATGCAATCCTGCTATTTTGCATTATAAAATGTGGTCAAAATGCATATCTTTGATCAATGTTCATCATCATTTGATGAAGTAATAGTTGCTTAAATCCCGTAACGTATCGGTGAGAATCGCAACCTTTTTCCTACACGTAGACACTGATTGGCGAAGTGGGCGTGTCCTAGGGGTGCCAGTCTATTACCCAATAGTTTTTCTATCCATAAACATGGCAATTCTCGTCTAAAATAATGATTGTCTGAGTAGAGCTAACAAAAGTACTTCACTCCAGACCTTGTTCGACGTGAATTTTCTCTTCACAGTCGCCATTCTTCATTGATCGTCGTTATCCTGCTCCTACTCCTCATCGTCATTATTATCATCATCACTATCATCATCAAATTTATGGAGAATTGTTTTCTACCATGACTGTCCTTTACTTTCTGTCACCGAGAGTTTCTGTGCCCGGAATAAAATAACATTCATTGCACTGTTGCCGACACGGCTATTAGCCCGTTTCAGCGGTACAACAACTTCCGTGTGGGTTAGCGCAACACATCCGGCAAATTCCTACGCCATATCGTGTAATGGTAATCGAATGGTTAGGGTCAGTTCACAGGAAAAGTTCTTCTCAACCAATTGCAAATTCCGGAAACATTTTGGTTTAGTCATGGTTTATCTTTCGTAAATTGTTTAAATCTATACTCCATGTGCATGAGAATAATTAAAGGAAGCACACTCGAAATGGCCTTGAATGCACGTATGTGTTGAGGGACATGGGACAACCCGGTGCATATGTTTGAGAGATTTCTATTAGGTCAAAGTTAACAAATCGTAAACGATTAAGCGATGCACTTTGGAGATAAATTTGAGTCCGTGAGCACATTCACGTTGAATTTCATTTCTTCACATTTGATTAATGTTATTGTTTTGCAGACTGCGTACGAGCCAAGTTTCAATACTGTTAAATGCGGTGATCACTGACAAAGAGCCCGGGCTAGCGGCTTAGTCCTGTTTGGAACTCGTTTTTGTGTCCCTGTCAAGACTCGAACTGCGAACTTTCCGGTTTGGAATGTTGATAATAATCAACAGTGCCTGATGCCTGTAAAAAACCAAATGGGCTAGTCCAAACATTCACCGTCTAAATTGTAATGCTTTTGTCACAGGATGGACAGATTTCTTTTGGTCAACTGCAGGAAGAAAACGAATTTTGCTTTAAATTGAATAAATACAATGTGCATTAATCTGCCGTTCCCTGTTGGACGTATTAATTTCAACCACGTATGCGAATACATTCATCTGTTCGTTCCAAGCGCATGTTGAACAATATTTTCCATTATATTCACAGTGCATCACCCGTCGTGTATTCTTAGCTAATACATAATGCTCTAAGTGTATTGCATCGCATCGAATTTGGATTGTTGTAATTAGTACAATAATATAAATCTGAAAGTTCTGGCTAGAATGAGTCTGTTTACGCAATACTCCGTACAGAATCTACTAAACGAATGCATAATTTAACAACCATGAAATACATTATCCCTGTTCTTGTATGAAGCTTTCCTAATTACAAAGAACTAAGAAATCTTCTGGGTTCCTTGCTGCGTCAGTCAGACGAAAATTACCTCTTTCTATCAGTGTTAGTGGTCACACTGGCTGATTAATATCTGGTGTGTTGAGTTTTCCAACCCCACTGGGGATATCTTAAACAAAGTAGTCTAAGTGGATATCCCCATCTTTCTGAAAGCTAGATGTGCTGTACACGCTTGTAGCAGTACTCTACGAGTCACACTTGAAGAATGGATGAATACATTTTCTTTCTCAAGAAAGTAATCAAAGGAAGCCTACTGTTCTCCCCGTAAGGGCGCATTGCAGGATGAAAATGGACTACGTTTAACGAACACATTTGCTCCTCGAGCAGGTCTATATTCTTCATGGTTTCTAGGAATAGAAAGCTGTTAAGACATGTGCCTCACTAAATTCCACCAAATTGGTTTCATATGGTAAAACGCCATTTTTGAAAACGGGATTGTAGGTTGCAATGATCATCACCATGTTGGTACCTACACGGAATTCCCAGATTGTGATCTATCATCAGGTGGGTGAGTGAAAGTATAGTACAACCAACTGGCTTTCCGTATTCGGACAGTTTTACTAAGATATGATTCCGGTCGTTTGGATGCACTAAACAGGCGTAATTTATATTTCTTCTCGGTCACATCCTTTCTCCGACGAATCACTACGAATTCAGGTTCACCACTTAGCAGATCCGTTATCTCTGACACACACTCAGAGTAATCTAATAGCCATCATTCTGACTTATTTGTTGGGCATGTTAAGAATAAATTTTCAATTTCATTATACTTCTTTCGGTTCATTGTGATTCTGTGATAAAGTACTACGATTAGTAATATGATAGTGACGAAGTTCACAACACATTCTCAATACAGTGTCTCACTAAAAGATTCTTATGATGAACCAGAGTTGTGTAAAATATGTTCCTATGAAGAATTCGTCGTGTAAATGTGGTGTGAGCTGAGAAGCTGAGAAGCACTGGACAGCTATTTCAACCTGGTTGGGTCTAGTCAGCAGCACGAATTCATCGACCCAACTGTGGATCGAACCTAGGACCTCACAGCAGAATGCAAGCATGCTACCCACTGGGCAACCCGGGCAGCTAAAGAGATCGTTCTCATTATGAATATACACGGTATAGCGCAGCCCATCTATGCGGGCTTGTTGCGAGTATTGGTCAGTGCTCATCTCAGCCCTAGCCTCCAGAGATATGACTTAGTTGGAAACTTTGTAGTTCACGCCTCATTTACACAACGAATTCTTCATAAAAATAACAAAAGTTATTCGGAAGTTTTTCAAGACATTCCATCATTGATCAAACATATTTTTATCTGTTATTTCTAAGTAAATTGAGTGATGGCGTCCTCAGTTGAAAATTTAAAATGTATTCGACTGATTACATTTTGCACACAAAAAGCAATTTGATTACAATTTTATGTGCAATACAAATTTGTGGGTGATATGCGAACATACCAACCAGGCTGCATTCAAAATGTATGCTTATGACGAGAGAAGACCTACTCTCAACACATGAAACTCAGAGTGCAGGACACAAAATAACTGGGCAGACCCTTAGTACCACCCAACAACAGTAAAAATTGCCATTTGCCAACACACTTACCTGAACAACCACGGACGCATACATACCACGAGTTGCTGGATCCGGCCAGTTACACATTTTCCAAATCAACAACGCATTGTTCAACACACGGACAGTTTCTTTGGCTGATTCGGATATGATCGGTTCCGTTGGTGACTCGGCTGTATTTTTGCTACTCAGATCTTTAGGCTTGCCTATTCGGCCAAGAAAAGTCCTGGTTTGAGCGAGCTATGGATAGACGAGAAATTTTAATCAAACTAGGAGGAGGTTTCCGCTTTGCAGAATGTAATAAAATACAATCATTGATGTACTTAAAAATTGGAAATGAACAGTTTTTGTTTTTAGCAATAATAACTAACATCGTGTTTATTTTTTATCATACAGAGTAAAATCATTACTCATTCTAATATAGATTCTTGACAAAATCAATCAGTAATGTTTCGCTTGTGTGACTTATTCTGAACTTTGACATTTCGTGTTTCGTTTTATTACGGAAATTAGTCAAATAGTCCGTTTAGACTGTCTTTAATTACGGTCGCTGAATATTACTCGATCCCGATTTGTATTCCGGAAACACTATTACGATTAATGGTGTATATGTGTACCCCATTCTAGCTATCGTGGAATAGGAATATTCAACGGTTTTGACGTTTGCATGGATTGGTCGGTTGTTGAAGTCATATTGCTGAACTCGATCCCTAGTAAAGTTGACACTGAAGATGGTAGCTTGATATGTCTGCGTTAGGATTCATGAACTATGTCACTACGTTCAAATCATGCACATTCTCTATGCATTAGAAAATGTGTATATTCCGCAGCAATGAAGTGTTTTGTACCAGAGAGTTAGGTGATTATGCTGCTGATGACCAATCTCCGACTCACTGTTACTGGTTTCATTAGCTCGTCAACGTCTATTGTTGTTCGAGACACGACTGAAGATTGATCACTCAAATGATTGATGTGGTTCCAAGTAGTCTGTCAGGTTTTGTTGCGCAGAGGGATGCGAGTGTAGATGCCGTTCAGTCTCCGTCGCTTGGCTTTGATAGAAAGTGATAGGAGTTTAACCCTTTGAAGACATTTGCTTTACATGTCCTTTCCTGGCTTCAGAGGAGGAGATACTGACAAAGTTTAGGTAGTATCACCAGCGGACAGCATATGTTGTAGCAAAACATTTTGGATACTGTGTTAGGTGACCGAAATATATGGAAGGATTAGGGTTGTAGGGCACACTGAAATCTGTCTGAAAAACCATCGCATTGAGTTTTGCTAGGTTCTCTGGGTTGCATTGACTTTTCCTTCATTTGATGCTGCGGCTTTTCGTAAGCGTTTTGTAACTGAACTTGTTTTACACTTTTGGAAATCTTTCAACAAAGGCATGGTCGGAAAATTCAAGAGAAGAGCCGGCAGATATCTACAAAATGATGACATTATTGGCAAAACATTTTCAAAGGAGCATTTAGCCTTATTGTGGAGCTCAGTACGTTTGTCAAACCGAGAGCCTGGTGTCTAAACGATTTTTGCAACCGCAGATGATACATGGTGTGAAATCAAGATAACTCGTTCAAGCTATGGGAATGGTATTTGAAAAATTCAGAAGTTCCTCTGAAGGACAACTAGGGAAATATGAATGTTGGCTTGGACAACCGACCGGTAATTACTCAAGTACCTAGGCTTGCATTCATCTACGGAGGCATAAATTTAATCAATGGAGTGAGCGAATATCTGCTTCACATTCTTGTGCCAATTGTTTCTTATGTAATTCATCAGGCATCCTCCGAGCTTCTGAGTCGTTGCCGGACACTCAACTCGGTATCTCGTGAAAACACCGATTTTAGTAACCTCTTCCTCAATATCACTGTGCAATTGCACTTAATTTCAAATATTCCACGTGATGAAAAAGATCTAATATATGCGGTAAGTTCCCAGGCAATGAACCGATTTTGTTGCTGATAATGACGGGTATGCAGAGTTGTGACAAATCTCTTCGACGCTGTGCTACTTTCAACGTATCCAAATGCTTCACTCAGTGTCCACGAGATTTTCTGCAAATTCTTTTGTATTTATTTCTCACTGCTTTTTCAACATTCAAGTACTTCCGGAGCAAATGAGCGTTTTTGATATTTTTCGTAAAGGTATGACGGAATGTTGTGACTGGTGTCATTGTGGTTGCACGACATCATTATAGCAACGAAACACAGAGTAACTGGTATGTAAAAGCATACGCAATGTCATTGACTATGTGGGAATGATCGAGCAGAAAACAACCATGCGGTCAAATATGAAGACCCTGACATTATCAAAGATTCATGGGGTCAAACTATAATTAGTTTAATCCGCGCAGTATCATTCGTGATTGATATAACTGCTCACGTGACATGCGGCATGATGATAATCAGAGAACCTAATCGATCGAAGCTGAGAACGGTGATATGATACTTCTGATACTTTTCGTTTTCTGTAACCTTTCTTCGGTTACCACTGGCCTTGGATATGAAAGGTTATAACACATAACGCACGAACATTGTATAATTTATCTGCGAACTAAGACAAAACCCACCTGATCCACTTGGAGTGCCTTTTCAGTGAATGAGAGCAGTGTAGTGGAACATCGATTGACCCAAGTTGATAGTACCGGTTCGAACCATGCGTACCAATTTGTTTGTGTCTTGGATTCTTCCCTGTACCAAGATAAATAAATTGACCTCGAATAAGTTTTCGAGCATATAGATGGGCAATAATCGTTCGTAGCCGCTCTCCTGGGGGTTGCCGCATAAGTGTTTGTGAGATTTACATGCGATGGACATGTATGTGATTACCGACAAAGAGCACTGGACAACCCGTTTTGTCCTGTTTGGGACTCGTCAGCAGTGCATACCTTTTGTGTCCCTGGCAGTAGTCGAACCGTGAACTTTCGAGTTGGGACTTCAAACCCTAATCCAAGCTTGGTACCGTAAAATTGTTTATGAGGTTATTCATCTCAATGTAAAAATGAATAAATAGATATGAAATCAGCGAATTCATGTGTTGCATATGATATACGGATGCTACATGTTATAGTGCAGTTCAAATGGTCTTGTTACTCATAGCGGTTCATCGTTTGATGGTTAGAGGCTAAGAAAAACAGGGGTCAAACAATACGAAGAGGAATTTGATGTGTTTATCGTGGTTCTAATCCTGCTATTACGCATTGGATTGAAGAAGGAGTAAACTTCATTCAGCTTCACTAGGATGAGTACAAAAGTGGGCCGGAAGTTGCTTGGATGGGAATAAGTCAGATTATTGTGTTGCCTAGCGAATTCGGTGACTCAATGAAGCTATTCTATACACGAACAGCTGCTTGAAATAACATTACACAGTTGACCATACGTGTTTCGTTACACTAGGTTTGTTGTAAAAATAAAATGATCGATCACGAAATGAGCCTTCACCTGTGAGCATAAGGCAATTAGGACAGTTTCGGTGAAACTATCGGAATGGGCTTAAAGCGGAACAATCATGAACGGTGATAGAATCGCACGTATGTATATGCATTTTGCATTTTAGAAAAAGTGGACGCCGATTGCGTGACCATTGGCTATTAGACTTTCGCATCAATATTCTTTTAATTGTTGTTCCTCGCTTCTTGCTGAAATCAGTTTTCTTTCAGCGCTAAATTGAGGAATAACGAGGTCATTGATATTTGGTTCGACCGTTTCCAAATTTCTAATTCCAAGGTGCTTCGATTTTGTGCATGAGTATGTGTAGAGAAATAGCTCCAAGCAGTATCGGCTTAAACTGATATTCGTTCACGATACGGAGTCAACAATTTTCGCTCGATGTACCGAAAATATGTACCGCAAATATGTTGCAGTCAGAATATAATCAATCAATATGAAAGTATATTTCAAGTGATTCCGTCATTACTTCAAGTGGATTCACTAACCTCTTTCAACTTCATGGGTTTTTGGTGCCCTGGCTACCACACGTCATCTATAAGACCGGATCTGTCATGGTGTTAAGACGCTTAAGGTGCATTAATTTCTAGCGCGTTCCAATTGCCTGTCAAGCTCAACAAAAAGCATTGAATGGCTGTTTCGTCCAGGCTGGGATACACAATCTCATCGTACTTGAAATGCGTGCGGGAAATGTACGAACTCCTAAAGAGCGAGATCAACTTGAAATCACAAAATCCAGTGTCTGGATTCTGTGGATTTGAATTGTTTTCTCCATGAAAAGGCAACCAATCTTATGTGCCCGACAATGACGATTTCACTACGAGCGGGAGGGTTGTCTGACAATTCGTCCCCCTAGATATTTGGGCAGCTGGATAATGGCCCTCAGCTGCATACAACAATGAACGAACCCGTTCATACTCAAGCATGATCATTGGGATGAGAAAGATAATCCCGATAGGATACATCGATAGAGCTACCACTATGCTCATGCGTGAATGCGCAGTTAGGTCATTCCATGAGCCAGTCGAACAAAGGCTCACAATAATGTGCACAGTGGTATTTCGTTAGGGTCATATTTTACACGAATCGTTCCCGCCAGCATTCTAAGACAGCGAGATGATCGAGTGTCTTCATATCGTCTCGTCCACAATGAAACTGTTTTATTTCAGTTTGTCTGATTCTTTATTTAGGGCGGACGTTGCGACTTACCAAGGGGGGACAGATTGGTAAGTGACGCGCTGATTTAGAGACTGATAAGCAATCGAAAAGATGATGCTGACGCATGTTTATTTCACACGGGAAACTCAGCGCGTATAGAGCAAATGAAGCGTGAACTGAAAAGCTAGGAAGCACTGGACGGCTGTTTTGATCTGGTTGGGTCTTATCAGCAGTGCAAATCCATCAAACGCAAGCATGCTACCCACTCGACCACCGCTTTTCATGTTCCATTTATACGATAAAGCAGAACACATCTTTGCGAGCCTGTTGCGGGCATCGCGCCTCGCTCGTCTCAGCACTAGCCTCCAGGGTTATGACTCGGCTTGGAACCTTCGCATACTGACTACTTGTTACATGAGCATAATGGAGGATTTGACTAAACTTTAAAGAGGAAATTCATCGTGTATATAGCCAGTGAAGCGTGAAATAAAAGCAGCTGTACAGCTGTACAGTGCTTCCTAGCTTTTCATTCATATCCTGTTTTAAAGTGAATCAAGTCCTTCTCCATGATTCTCACCAAGCATGACTATTTATTTCCACACGCGAATGCAGGTCAAAAAAACAGGCCTAACAACA